AATGGAAGAAACTGACGCCGGCACTCGACAGCTTAGCTCTTCTGGTCACGTCCCTTGCCTCCTTGAGACCAGAGGTCGTCAACAATATAATGACGTATCAATTATTAACAATACTACTGAGGGCATACTGTATTGGCCGCGAAGAACAATATCACTACTATTAGGCCTTTGAGTCAAAAACACAATGGCTGATCACAAACCCCAGTAACCCCAGTATAAAGAAAATACCTTTTGATACACTGGAAAAAACGAATAAATCGATCAAGTATAGACAGATGGGGGTAAGTCAAACCACAAAGATCGATTCCCCTCGAATATATCGAGAAAAATTGGAAGTGATCAACAATATGATCATTACTCATGGTAAACATGCAAATACTCAAATATAGAGGGATAAACGTGTCTCAGCCAACCAACCAAACAAGGTGTCCACTTCCATTGCTTTAAGAATACACACAAATCAATCTGCTTTATGGTGCGCACCAACTTCACGTCCTTGCTTGAGCGACTAAACGCTCAGAACGCATCCGGCCGTCTCTTCCTTGAAGAGGGCCTCACTGAGTTCGGTCGTGAGATCGACGAAGCCGAGGAAGGAACCGACTACCCACACCAAATAATGGACAAAGCCATTGAAGACAGCGGTGACGAGGGATTTCGCGTTTTAACCAACTTCAGTCCTAATGAATTTGAAACCATTTGGTCCGTAATCGAAACATCCTTGTCATCGCGGTCGAACGACGGCCGGGGCAGATTGGCCAATACAACGCCCAAAGATGCCTTCTTGTCACTCTTGTCGTCTTGAAGCACTACATGTCGTGGGAGAAGCACGCACTCGACTTTGGCACGAAAGCACCTACGATGGAGAAGATGGTCATGCGCGTCGTCCACACAGTCCAACCTGTCTTGTACGAGCATTTCTTAACCATGCCAAAGATGACGGAACTTCGCGACAAAGGTTGTGTGTTCCGTTCGTACCCGTACGCGAAGTATGCTACTGACTTGAAGTTTCAGCCATCACACCGTCCGTTAGGAAGATTTGGTGAGTAAAAGCACTACTTTAGCGGTAAGCACAAATTGTACGGCCTTAAGATCGAGCCGTCGGTCTCACCTGAAGGCCTTTTGGTCGACATGAGTTCTCACGAACCAAATTCTGTATCGGACATCACGATGATTCGCGATCGCCTTAATGTCCAATTTACAGCCCTACAAAAGTCTGGCAATGAGTCACTGATCAATGACAACGAGGAACTGTTCCAAGACTTCCCTTCGTCGTGTGCTGTGCTGGTTGAAAAGGGTTGTTGTGGCCTAACATCGTCCGCCCGAGCAATCCACCCCAATAAGCGACCAACAAACGGCACCCTCGATCGTGCTGACCTCGACCGCAACGCCAACATCTCCTGCAACCGAGTTATCGTGTAGAACTTTTTTGGACGTGTTTGCCTTCTCTGGAAAATATCCTACGCAACGTACGAGTGGGAACCAAGAGTTATGATGCCATCCAGCGTCTCACCTTTACATTGACCAACTTCCATCTTGCGCTGATGCCACTACGTCAAGATGATCAGCATCAGTACCGCGCTGTGTTGGCTCGTTACGGTCGCATGGTCGAAGAGAACAACACCAAGCGCGCTGCTGTTCAACGTCGTTACGCAGTTCGCCGCGCTGAGAGGTTGGCAACTGAGTCTTTGCGATCTGGTTTTGCCGCTCGGGTGTCCTTTTCTTCGCCTGCGTTGATCGCCCGCCGATAAGTATACTTCTATCTATTATACTTGTTAATTGTATACCCAAAAATATTTTTTGCATATAAATACCTAGTATAAATTAAATCTATATTTTATTTGGTTCGTTCGGGATGAAATGATCAATTCAGGGTATTTGATTCGAGACCAAGGCATTTTGGAAATAATTCAGCTGCGGCGCTGCAACTCTCTCAATTGTCTTTCACAGAGCCTTTCAGGTATGAACTTTGCAGAAGATTATTGATGATCTTGTATTCTTTGCAACCCACCATACAAGAGAGATCATCCTCACTTTGGAAATCCTTGCGTTTTTGATTTCGTGCTCTATTGAGCAACAAATATTGTTAACGTTATTGGTCAATGTGTTAAACCTCGAACTCAGAATCTTAATGACTGGCGAAAATATAACGTGTTTACAATCCACGAAAGATTTATGAAGAATGTTCTTAGATTGAATATGTCGACGTATTTCCTCAAACGGGTTTGACCTTTTCGAATAATTGCCAATCATTTCCGAATGCGTCGAAACGATTTCCTAAAGTCAAAAAGGATAAATCCTTATTTATGAACTGTTTGAATGACTCTATGAGGAGATTCGTCAACAAAAGGTGACCATTTCTTTACATTTAGGAGAAGTTGATAAAACCTACTGATATCCCCCCCTAATCGAAACGGGTCAAAGCAAATGAATTCTGAAACTCTATATATCACATCTCAAAGTCAGTTTGAATTTTCAAACATCAAGGATGTTGGAACAACGCAATTATTGACATTTGTCGAAGATGAAGGTGCGCATGACTTTGAGTGAGAAGCATGAGCTGTATGTGCATCATATGCAACATCCATCCTCAACACACACCGAGCTAGCCAAATGGGCAAAAGAAGCCTTAATGCTTACAAGCACACCAACTAAATCAACGATCTGTAATGCTCTTAAACGGCACGCCACGCAATATAAGCGAGCGGACAACAAGGCGAGAAGCGCTGATCGTTCTGTGATGATGCCCGAGGTCGAACAATCCGTCGCACAGCGGGTTCTCCAATGCGAAGAACTCGGCGTGTGCTTGACCGGCGAGCTCATTCGCAAGCAAGCGACAAGCGTCTGCGGCCAGCTTCAAGTACCGCTTGACCAAAGACTGTGCTTCTCTAAGGGATGGTTATACAAGTTTCAACGTCGTCATGGCTTTACCAGCAAGATCCAACACGGCGAGGCAGCGTCAGTTCCACCCGAAGCAGTAGCGTTCGTCGTGTCGCCGTCCGCAACATCACCAGAGGCTTCAACGCAAGCGAAGTCTACAACGTGGATGAGACCGCTTTCTTTTATCGCATGTCTCCTCACCGTTCTATCACCCGAAGCCGTGTGCCTGGAACAAAGAAGTCAAAGGACAGGATCACGATTGCGCTTACCACAAACGCCGACGGATCCGACGTTGTTGACCCATTGTTCATCGGGTCGGCTGCCCGTCCACGCTGCTTCAATGGTGCTCCCGCAAGTGCTTTGGGCTTTAACTACATGTCAAGCAAGAAAGCCTGGATGAACAGTAGTCTCTTCACCTCGTACTTGCGCAACCTGGATGACCGCATGGCTACCGAGGGTCGCAACATCCTCATGTTGGTCGACAACGCGCCGTCCCACAAAGTGGACGAAGATGTGCATCTATCAAATGTCAAGGTCAAGATGCTCCCGAAGAATACAACTGCTCACCTGCAGCCTCAAGACGCAGGCATCATTGCCTCCTTCAA